AAAATGAATAAGTTACCATACTCTCTGCTGCATCAAAAAATACGATAGAACAGACCCACCACTATTGGTAATGTTAGTTAGTTAGTGTTCCTTTTCATAGTTGATTTGCATGGCAAGAAGAGTCGTCTAGAATAAAAATGACATTGTGTGTGGTCAAGAAAGAGAAATAAAACAGACTGTGTTGAATTCAAATCTGTACCCTTGGTTTCATTTGAATGACAATTCTAGTCTTGGGCTAAAAATTTTATGATTATTGCTCATTGGACTTAAGAAGAACTTCTAAAGAAATTCCATCCATATCAGTTTTGAGACTGGGAAAAACAGATATGCTTCTTTGACAAGTAAATAAATATTTGCCTCACGTTTGAAAGAAGGCTAGATAAACTATTAAAGTAGCCATGAAATCAGGACATCTATTTTGGGCTCTGACACAGGATATGGGAAGATTGGAAAAAAATCACTCTGCTATGAGCACCAATAACCTATCAATAAATTGAGAATAATAACTCAACCTATCTACTTCATAGAGTTGCTCTCAGGCATATGCTATGTACATAATAAAATTATAAATATAAAGATAATTTTGATATTTTCTTTTTCAGTTCAGATTTCTATTCTGAGTTTTACCTATATTTTGAGAATTACAGAAACACTTAAAATCATCTTATCCAATGCCCTCGTTTTACAAATAAGAAAATTGAGATTGACAGAGAGATAGTGAATTGTTTAAGGATATAAAATGGGAAAGCCGGAACTAGAATTCAGATCTCCTGAAACCCAGATTATCCTGTGATGTACTTATCATTTGAGACCTCTTTTTTTCCTCAACAGATAGTTAAGAGAATGTCTCATAACATGGGTAATCTCACCATAGTTACAGAATTCCTCCTTATGGACTTTTCCAAAAATTGGGAACTGCAGATCTTACATGCCATGCTTTTCTTGCTGATCTACCTGATGGCTCTAATGGGGAACCTGCTCATTTTCACCCTCATCTCTCTCAATGGGCACCTCCACACTCCCATGTACTTCTTTCTGAAGAACCTGTCCTTTTTAGACATCTGCCTTATTTCTGTTACTGTTCCCAAATCCATTGCAAACTCCCTGAGCCACAGCTGCTCTATCTCTTACTTGGGATGTGTATTACAGGTCTTCTTAGTGATTTTATTTGCAGGATCAGAGATTTCCTTCCTCACAGTGATGTCTTATGACCGTTATATAGCCATCTGCCTGCCCCTGCACTATGAAACCATCATGACCAAAGGATCTTGTGTGAGGATGGCAGTGGCTTCCTGGTTCAGTGGAGGTGTGTTTGGGGCCATGTACTCAGCTAGTACATTCTCTTTACCCTTCTGCGGCCTCAAAGAGATCCATCAGTTCTTCTGTGATGTCCCTTCTTTACTCAGGATCTCCTGCTCTGAAAAACACATTGCAGTTTATGTGAGTGTTGCAATTGGTTTGGGTTTAGGGATTTTCTGCTGTATTTCTATCATTATCTCGTATGGTCACATCTTCTCAACTGTGCTGAAGATTTCAGACACAAAAGGTCGGTCAAAAGCCTTCTCCACTAGTCTGCCTCATCTCATTGTTTTCGTGGTTTTTATCATAACTGGGGCCATGGCTTATTTAAACCCACCTTTGGAATCTGACTCAGTTCTGGACCTATTGTTGTCTATGTTCTATACAGTGGTGCCCCCAACCGTGAACCCTGTCATCTATAGCCTGAGGAACAAGGACATGAAGATTGCTTTGAGGAAGCTTATGACATGGAAATACTTATAAGAGGGATTAATGAAAAAGTGTTTTTCAAGATTATGTACTTGCTTTTTAACAAATCAGCTCTGCCTTTTATGTGCTTAATATTTTCATTTATATATCTGACTCTAGAACATGAGTTTTGAAATCTAGAATTCAAAGTTCAGGGACATACTGAAAGATATGTTTTTCCAAAGTACATATGCTCATATAAGTGGGCAAAATTATAATACTTCATATTTCTATAATGCTTTAAAGTTTTTCAAGAGCTTAACAAAGGGCCTAGCACCTTGTAAGCACTTAATAATGATTACTGATTGTTGTTAATTTTCACATTCATATATTTGATCTCAACAACAACCTTATAATGTAGTTATGAAAGGTGTTATTTGTATCTTTTTATGGTTAAGGAAAGTGAATCTCAGAGAAGCAAAGTGATTTGACTAAGCTCTCCTGAAAGGAGATGAGTCTTAGCTTACGTGCATCTTTGTTTTCAAAGGCAAATTTCTTTTTATCTTATACCATGCAGAAAGTTGTCAAATACATAGTTAATTTAAATTATTGTGAAGACTTGCAAACATATTACTTTAACATAAGTCAATTTCTATAAAGTGGTATATTTTGTTTTGCTTGTATATCTAAAATATAATCATACAACCATAGAAAAGTAGTACTTGGAGAGATGTCAGGAGTCATCTAATTCAATTCTCATCTTGAATTTCATTTAAAATACAACAATTGCTAATCCTTTCTGTACAAGAAGTTTACCACATAATAATGACAGAATATATGTGTATATGTATGTGTATGTAAGTATATATAGTCACGTATACTTTTACATACTTATGTATGTATGTGTACTGTAATATGTGCTATATGTTTCTGTGTATACGTATTGTGTATATATGTGTGTGCATGTGTATATATCTCTACACCCAAAAATTATTTTTTGGAAATATATACCAAGATACCGGTCAGTTTTCACCTGTTCCTGAGATGTAGCTCATTTGGGCTTGTTTAATTGGGAGAATAGGGGAGGAGATAACATACAAATGAGAGAAAAGTTAGGTGTGTGTTCTAATCATACTGCTACATGATGTGAAAGCCCATTTTAAAAAGTAAGGAAAAATGTTGGTCTACTCTGCGGTGTAACTTATGCATGATAAATATACACAAGAAAATGATAAATTATCTTTGTCAAAATCTGTGTTTAAAATTCCTGAAAGTGTCATCTTCTGTATAGATTTTAAGTAAGATAAAAGTATTTGTATTGAGAATGCCATATAGGTCTGATATGGAACTTCTGAAACCAAGATGGCAGAGCAAGTAAGAAATCACCTGAACTCTTTCATATTCAATTCTAAAAAACTATAAAATAGAACTGTGTAATGAATTCTGCAATAGCAGAAACAACAAAAAGATGGGGTGAAAGCATTTTCTATGCCAAGACAACTTGGAAGGTCAGGAGGAAAAATCTACCTCACTCCAGTAAAAGAAGACTGCTTAGTGACCCAGAAAGCCAGCAGCAGGCCTTCCCTCAGCAAGCCAGCAAGAGGCCTGAGCACCAGTGCAGGTCAGTGACAGAGGCCCCATAGCCCTTTTGCAGCAGCATGCAAGTGACTAGGCCCCCTCCCATGCAACCCCAGCACAGAAACACTCTCTCTCTTTCTCCCACCCAAATGGTTATCAGCACAATAGCAAGTAGGCCAAGAAGCCAAACCCCTACAGCACTGTGTGGCACCAGCCATTGCCCATCGCCATGTCATTGCAATACCAGGGGAGCCACAGATCAGAATGAGGGTTTGCTATAAGGTTTCACATTGCACCAGGTGAACAACCATACACCAATACTAGTGCCCCCCACCCCCTTGCATATGCCTCAGCACAAGACCCCAAAACCAGGCATCTCTGAACCTAAACAAAACAAAAGGTGAGCTGCAGCACCAGTCACCCATGCCCCACAAAGCAGCACTACCAGGCAAGTTGCCAGTGCCAGGCAGCCCCACAACAGCACAGTGGTCCCCCACAGGCTTCAAGGCAGCACCATCAGAGTACCAAACAGGCAAAACCTGCACCCCCTGACACAAGAAGCTTGGGACATTACCCCTTCCATCCAGGAGCAGAGTTGAATTTTAAAAGAAACAAAATAGGCTAGAAAAGATAAGCAAAAAGGGGGAGAAAAAATAATCTGACAGTAAAAAATTGTTATGTAGAAAGGGAAGATTAAGATACAAACTCAAAAGAGGACAATGCTGTCAAGCATTTACATATAAAATTTCAAAGAAAAATGTGGTCTCAAATCCAGAGAGAATTTCTGGAAGTGCTCAAAAAGGTCTAAAATATTAAATAAGAGATGTAGAAGAAAAATTGGGAGAAGAAATGAGAGCGATGCAAGAAAATAAGGAAAAAAGAGTCAACAGCTTTAGATAAAGAAAACAGCTCCTTAGAAAATAGAATTGGCCAAATGAAAAAGGAGGTACAAAAGGTAACTGAAGAAAATAACTCCTTAAAAATTAGAATTGGGCAAATGGAAGCTAATTACTCTATGAGCTATCAAGAATCAATGAAACAAAATCAAAAGAGATAAAAAATTGAAGACAATGTGACATTTCATTGGAAAAGCAACTGAACTGGAAAATAGATCCAGGATAGATAATTTATTTTTTTTCTTTTTTTAAATTTTACATTTTTCAATTTTTTATGAATTTATTTTGACTTATCAATAATCACCTCCATATACTTTTGAGTTCAAAATTTTTCTCTCCTTTTCTCCCCACCACCATCCCCAAGAAGGTACACCAACTGATATAGGGTATACATTTACAATCATATTAAACATATTTTCACATTAGTGATGTTAGAAGTAAAAATTAAAACCAATAGGAGGAACCATCAGAAAGAGGAAACAAAACTCAACAGAAGAGAAAAAAATAACAATTTGACTTCCATAGTTCTTTCTTTGGATGTGGATAGCATTTTCCATCACGAGGCTTTGGAGATGTCTTAGATCCTTGTATTGCCAGGAAGGGTTAAATTTATCAATGTTAGTCATCACACAACATGGCTGTTATTGGTTACGACATTCTCTTGGTTCTGCTCACTTCACTCAGCATCAGACCATACAAGTCTTTCCAGATTTTTCTGAAGTCAGCCTGTTCATCATTTCTTATAGCACAAGCATATTACATCACATTCATGTACTACAACTTGCTCAGCCATTCCCCAATTGATGGGCATCCTCTCAATTTCCAATTCTTTGCCACCACAAAAAGAGCTGCTATGAATATTTCTGTACATGTAGGTCCTTTTCCCATTTTTGTGATCTCTTTGGGATATAGCCCTAGAAGTGCTATTGCTGGGTCAAAAGGTATGCACATTTTTATAGTCCTTTGGGCATAATTCCAAATTGCTGTCCAAAATGGTTGAATCATTTCACAACTTTACCAACAATGCATTAGTGTTCCAATTTTCCCACATCTTCTCTAACATTTATCATTTTCCTGTTTTGTCATGTTGGCCTTTCTGATAGGTGTGATGAGGTACCTCAGAGTTGTTTTGATTTGCATTTCTCTAATCAATAGTGATTTAGAGCATTTTTTCATATGACTATAGATGGCTTTAATTTCTTCATCTGAGAACTGTCTGTTCTTATCCTTTGACCATTTATCAATTGGGGAATGGCTTGTATTCTTATAAATTTAACTTAATTCTGTACATATTTTAGAAATGAGTCTCTTATCAGAGAGACTGGTTGTAAAAATTCTTTCCCCATTTTCTACCTTCCTTCTAATCTTAGTTGCATAGGCTTTGTTTGTGCAAAAATTTTCAATTTAATGTAATCAAAATCATCTATTTTGCTTTTCGTAATGTTCTCTATTTACCATTTGTTCATAAATTCTTCTGTTCTCCATAGATACAGGAGAGATAATTTAAGAAATTATCAAAGAAAACTGTACCAATATCTTAGAATCAGAGGGTAAAATAGACATTGAAAGAATCTACCAATGGCCTCCTGAAAGAGATCCAAAAATAAAAACTCTCAGAAACATTATAGTCTAATTCCAAAACCCCCAGGTTGAGGATAGAATATTGGAAGCAGCCAGAAAGAAACAATTCAAATACTGGGGAGCTACAATCAAGATTAAATAGGATTTGGCAAATTCAACATCAAAGGATTGTGGGGCAAGGAATATGATATTCCAGAAGGCAAAGGAGCTGTAACTACAAACAAGAATTACCTACTCAACAAAGCTGAGCATAATCCTTCAGGGATGAAAAATGGTCATTCAATGAAATGGAAGGCTTTTGAGTTTTTCTCATGAAAAGATGAGAGCAAAATAAAAAAATTCAATTTCCAATTTCAGGTTTCAAAAGAAGTATAAAAATGTAAAAAGGAAAGAAAAAACAATAAGGAATTCAATAAAGCAAAACTGTTTGAAAGTTTACATGGGAAGATGATGCTTGTTATTCCTAAAAACTATATCACCATTAGTGAAGTTAGGTATATGCAGAGATAGAGGATGAGTATAAGGCAACTTTAAGGGGATGATATAAAAAAATTAAGGGGTGAAAAAGAGGATTATACTGAGAGCAGAAAGAAAGATGAGATAGAATGGGCAAATTATCTCACATGAAGAGACATGAAAGACCTACTAAAGTGGAGGGGAATATGGAAAGGCAGGCAGTGGGGTTTCCTGAACCTTACTGTCATCAGAATTGGCTCAAAGTAGGAATGGCATAGACAATCATTTGAGTATGGAAGTCTATCTTACTCTACAAGGAAGTAGGAGGGTAATGAGTTGTGTAAAGAAGGAGACTGACAGAAGGGAGGGCAGATTGGGAAGGCAGTGGTCAAAGGCAAAACAGTGATGAGGAGGTAAAAGATGAAAGGGGAAGAAGAGGATAACCAGGGGTGGGGGAGAATACAATGGAGGGAAATACACAGTTGGTAATCATAACTGTGAATGTGAATGGGATGAACTCTTCCATAAAGCAGAACTGGATAGCAGAGTAGATTAAAAACCAGA